ATATTAATGAGTATTTTGTTGATCTATGAGACGTGGTGGTGAATACTACCACTGAAATTCGTGGTTTTGTAGGAATGCTTGAAGACATCACTAATATCTATTTTGTTCAATTCATCACTCGTCATTTTCGTTAAGTTCTTTTTCGATCGAAGTGTACGTTTGCAATTTCTTCATTTAAATTATTAATTCAATTTAGAGGTTGGACTCGGAAGTGAACCCTTGGGCTATGTTTTTTGCTTCGACTTTGCCTCTCTGTCTTCGGTGCTTATGATAAATAAATAATTAATTTTCCCTAAACTTTCAGAGAAAAATGATGATTCTAATTTAAAAATAAAATTAGAGCCTGCTCTTTACTGAGCTTCGAAATATGTTTTCCTTTATAATATCAACTTTAATGCCTCTTGCATTACAGATTGGTCGTAAAAACTTTGAAATCGGTTCTAAGTTGGTAGTTTTCCATTGTTATAAAACTTAAAGTTACAACTTGAGTTCTAAGAAACATAAGCAAGGAAGGTTCAAATGATAAATTAGGTCTATAATTATTTGTTATATACAATTATTTAAAAATCCTGAAAATATTTTGCATTCTGTGTGGAAATATGAGACTTTCATTCATTTTTTTCACACGATATATTCATTTGAACGCGAATTCAAATATAGCTAGTTTATACGAAATATATACCATAGGCGTAAAAATCAAAAGTGAATAATTTCTCATTTGAACATTACTTGTGAACTTCGATGTGAACATCAAGTGTAAACATCGCGTGTAAACATAGCGTGTAAACATTATTTTCGAACATGAACTTCGATGTGAACATAGCATGCGAACATCAAGTGTAAACATTATTTTCGAATATCACTTATGAAAATTTCGTGTTAATATCACGTGTGAACATTACGTGTGAACATTACGTGTGAAATTCACAGAATAAAGAATTCTCTGAACACAACCCGTGTGAACAGCTTATTAACCTTAACGTTGAACACATTAGAGGAAGTCAAACCATTTCTTTTAGCTCAAGCTCATTGTCAATTGTTATTGGCTAATAACTCCTGCCAATAACAAGTTATTGGTCGAAATTATGGTTAAAGTTACTTGTAAAATGTTATTTCTTATTGGCCAAAGTTATTGGCTGAAAACTGCCGGTAACTCCTAAAGATATTGGCTACAATTATTGATTTAAGTTATGGGCTAAAGTTAATAGTCAATGTTCATGTCTAAATTTATTGGCTGAATTTATTGCCAAAGTTATTGGCCAAAGTCAATGGGCAAATGTATTGTCTAAATCCTTGGCTAAGTTATTAGCTAAAGTCATTGGCTAGTTCAGAGAAAAACCCATATAGAAGAAGTTATAAGTGCACCACCAATGCAGGGATGATTTCATATAATATCTAAATTTGCTAAAGATTTATTTCCGGTTATGACAGTTAATGGATTTAATCAAATCGCGTATCCTTTATAATACCTTGCTTCTTAACTCCAACGAACCAATGCATACCTCGAGATTGTTGAATACTTAACAATAATTAAACTTATACAAATAGTCAACATACATACTAATACTTAATAATAATTACATTTATACAGATCAATAATTATATAAATTATTCAGAATCTGTACAACTCATGTGTGAAATTCAGAGTCACTGCGTGAGGGTTAAACTAAAAAAAATTTAATTCTTGTTAAAATCTCGCATTTGACTGCCATAGTTGATAGTCAAATGCGCAGCATTGAAAATACGACTCGAAATTTACAACGAAAATCATGCAGTCGCTTCAAAATTTTCGTATATTTAAAATCTCAGAGTTTGGTGAAAATAAAAGTTTTCATTAACCGATATTAGCTGAATTATTCAGCGATGACTCATCCCACGCATCTGAATTTTACAGATTCACTGATTCACTGGGCAGACGATGATTAAAAAAAATTCGTCGACAAAAAAATAGATTCGGAAATTTGAATTAAAATCATTATCTGTTAGTGATGCATTACTCGATAAGTAAGGAAAATAAAAAAGGAAATGTCAATTATTTTAGAAGAAGCCAATGAAACTGTTCATGCTTAGGGGATGGAGTGACGTAGGCTTATTGAATTGGTGTAAAAAAGGAAATGAATGAAGATAATTGAAGTGAAACGTGTGGTAATTATTACTTTATTAGATTAGTTAGTACATTCTTTCTAAAATATAATCACTCGTTCATTCACTTTCATAAGCACTCATCAAAGTGAATGTTAACGTGCAGTTTAGGTCAAGTTCATTCACCTAGACCCATATTTTGAATATAGTATTAACTTTAAATATTTTTAACTCGCGACTGGCCTTTAACAAAATTCCTGAATCGTCGGTTTAAGAATCCGGATGCAAGGAGCCAGGAATATTAAGCTCCGGAAATTCGCAAATTGGAATTTTCATGTTGCCATAGCAACGCTTGGGTTGTCATGGGACCTCACGCGTCGCCATGGCAACGATGACGCCGCGGGATGCAAGCAAAAATGAAAACACGTGTTACAAAAAAAAATCAGAATACAACAGTGATAACAAATAACGAAAGGCTCAAAATTGTGACAGCAAAATTAACATTATCAATGATAAGCATATTGATCAAAATTCATATCACATTATTGAGAACACTGGGAACACTGACACGATAAATTCTAAATTAGTACAAATTCACACACAATTCTTCAATAAATACAAACTTTCGAATAAATTCTATCCAAATGCTTAATATACGTTTAACGTGAGTAACGCAACATAATATAAATACAAAACGAACTACTGCAACATGAGTTACTGCAAGACGTCTGTGGAAGGTTCAGCAGTCTGCAGTGCAGTGACGCTGCTGACACGAACAGCGACGCAGTGACGCAGTGACGCAGTGACACAGTGACGCAGTGATGCAGTGACGCAGTGATACAGTGATGCAGTGATGCAAAGATGCAGTGACGCAGTGATGCAGTGATGCAGTGACGCAGTGATGCAGTGATACAGTGACGCAGTGATACAGTGACGCAGTGATACAGTGATGTAGTGATGCAGTGACGCAGTGATGTAGTGACGCAGTGATACAGTGACGCAGTGACGCAGTGACGCAGTGATGCAGTGACGCAGTGACGCAGTGATGCAGTGACGCAGTGATGCAGTGATGCAGTGATGCAGTGATGCAGTGATGCAGTGATGCAGTGATGCAGTGACGCAGTGATGCAGTGATGCAGTGA